CCTCTGTTTTTACTGGGTTTTTTAATACATTTTTAAGTGACTTTTATTCCACCTTTGGGCATGAATGCAAGTTGGAAGCTGCAAGTAGGTATGTGTCTATTCCATGCGATAGCCTGATAAACAATACTTGCTGAGAATTAGTATGGCTTGACCAAACTGGGGTCCTAGAGTCGTTGGTGTTTTATTTGTATGCAGGGGTTTTGTTTGTTATATTGATACTGGCAGGACTCTTGCAGACTCTTATTCTTGAATTGTATGTCCCTTAAAATGACTTGTTTAAAGTCAGATTGAGTGGTAGAGGCTTTCGGGTGGGAGTGGTGGGGAGAGATGAGGTAGAGGGATTAATCTTGTTCCATCCTCAAGGTGAGCTTGTTTCATGGGAAACACTGCAAATTGTACAGGATTCTAGTGAGAAATTGGTAGCTCTTAAACTAATAAAATGACAAGGACTTGGGCACCCTGTCTGTTGCACAGAGTACTTGGGTGCTGGATATCTGAGATCTCCCCATAAGAGTGGTTGTTGGGGAAGCAGAGAATCAAAGGCTGGAAGGGACCTCAGAGGGTCTCCAGCCCAACCTCCAGCTCACAGCAGGGTCAGCTCTGAGGTCAGGCTTCTCAGGGCTTCATTCAGTTGGGGCTTGAAACCTCAAAGGATGGAGACCGTATCAACCTCTCTGGGCAACCTGTGTCATTGCCTGACTCTTGGGGAAAAAATTTTTGCTTTATAGCCAGGCTGAAGCTCTCCTGTTTAAGTTTATGCCTGTTGTTTTTCACCTTCCTGCCCTGCACTGCTGTGACGAGTCCATCTAAGACTCCTCAGTGACATCCCTGTAGGTACTGGGGGTGCTGTTAGGTACCCCCAAAGCTGTGTCTGCCCCAGGCTGAACAAGCCCATCTTCCCTAGCCTCTCCCCCATCATCTCAGTGGCCTCTGTTTAACTGTCTCCAGTTTATTGGTGTCTTCTGTGTATTGCTGAGGCCCAAAACTAGACAGTGTGTAGATGTGGTCCAAAGGAATGCTGAGTAGAGGAAGATAATCCTTTCCATCGGTCTGCTTACTGGCTCTGCTTGTGTTCATGCAGTCCAGGGTGCTGTTGTCTGTCTTAGCAAGCTGGCCATCAGCCAGCAGTATGCAATCCATGAGGACCTGAAGGTACATTTCATAACATATATCAGCTATTATTCCCCTTTCTAATTCTAGTCATTGCACATTGGTGTTACGGATAGAGAAGCACTAACATTCCCATCAGAAAAAAAGAAAAAAATACACAGCAGCAAAACACTTTTGGTGACATAAGGCTCAAGACTGTTGTCCTTCACAAATAAATACACATAGGCTTTTGAGGTGAATGAGGGATAGGTGGCAACCCAGGATGCTACTGGAAAGAAAAGTTGCAACCTGAAATAAACATCATGATGGTAGTTGGTGGCATTCAGCTCAGAAGAACCTACTTTGAAACTGTAACAACTAAACCTAAAAATAAATGATTTTTTTTTTCTCTGCACTCAAGATGACTGATGCAATTACTGCCTTCTATTCCAAACACATGTCCTCCTTTTTTTTTTTTTTTTTTGGTGTGAGGAGGAAAGTTTGGATGAACTGTAATCTAATGATCCGTATAAACAAAGTCCTCTGTTCAGCCTGCTCATCTTAATGGTTCTGATGATTTGTCTCTTCAGCACTGCTATTGTTTCATTATAATTAGAATAGAAAACTTCTAAAGATGTTTGCAATACACCAGGTGAGTCATTAGCTTGCAAGACAAACACTGTAAAGAAAGATACCTAGTTTTATATTTTACTCTGGAAATATGGTGATTTATATTAAATAATACAACTTTTTCCCTCAGCTGTATCTGTAGTTTTCTTGAAGACAAACAAAGCAAACCCTCTGCTTCAGATAAAGAAGTGACTTTTAATGCTTACTCTTGACTTCTTGTAGCCTCTGGCAACTGTTAACCTTTCGGATTGATGCGTGTTTTGCTATATTACTTAAAGATCATAAAAAGCTACAAGAATCCAAATAGTTAATGTTTATTTAAGGAAAGCTTCATTTATATTTTGAGACAGATCTTGCAATAGTATTGCTGTTGTATGTTTGTAGTAGTATGGCTTCTCTTCCAAGAAAAGCTGCAGCTAGTTTTAGGAGGGGAAACTTCTGTCTGGTTTAAGATAAACTGGATGAAACAATTGGCAGTGAATGGGTATGTGGGTGTCTTTTGGGAGGGAGGAGGAGGTTGATTTGTGGAAGTGGGATAAGATGCTGCAAGCTGAGGAACTTGAGCATATGGGAGATTCAAACTGCGTCCTTGCTCCATCATCCTCAATCTAGAGCCTTAGAACAGTCTCTTCATGCCAAAGAGCAAACTTTAAACATTGGGCTGAGAGTTTTTCAGTAGTGGATCTGTGTTGTTGGCATAAGCTACTTCTAGGGAATTCATGAAAGATAGCTAACAAAGTCAAACCTACTTGTCTTTAGGCTTACTCCAGCTGCATGACTTAAAATTATAAAAGGCTGAAAGGCTGCCGACAAAAGGAGAAGAGGGGAAGGTCTTGAAAACCTTCTTGGTAGAGTCAGATGTAACTTGATTGCTTTGTGCTCCAGTGGAGGAAACTGCTTTTGAGGCCATAGCCTTTCTATTAACCTGGTTATGGGCTGGGTCTGTGCTGTAGGGGACCAGCTGCTGAAGCCTGCAGGGTGTTCCTTTCCAAGCTGGAGGGCTTTGACTTCTGTGGCATCAGGAGTTCAGCTGTAAAGTTTCTTTCCGGTAACTTTCCCCCCACCCCCTTTTTATTAAAAGGGAGAGAGCAAGGAGAATTATTCTTGTAATTCCAAGGGTGGGCTTTTAAAGAGATCCAAAATGGTCACTTTTAACCACTTGTCATGCTTGTTGTGTCATTTAGTTACGCTTTTACTTTGCAACCAGAGACCTTCCTTTAAATTTAACTTTCTTGGTAGAAGGCAGGGGTTTATAAACAGCAATGCTGACTTCTTAAAATACACCTTTTGAAACAGTCTAATTTTTAATGAGCATTCAAAATGAATTTATAATTGTCTGTAGCTGGTAACTGTTCTTGAAGGGAGGGTATCTTGAAGCTGCTACCATCCCACACTTGGATGAGCCCATTCTGGAGTTCAGGCAAGTGGAACTTCTCTTCCCTTTAAAGCAGTAGCAAAGAAGCAGCATCATTTTCAGCAAGGACCTCGATCAGAATCAAGAAGGAGCTGACCTCAGAGGCTGAGGCCAGCACATACTTTTAGAAGGGGTTGATTTGACAGCTCCTGGCACTTCTGGCGTGTTCCTTACACTGCTGCCCTTATGGGTCAAATATTGTGGTGAAGCTTCCTTTGTTCAAGTTGATGCTAAAAAGCTGAGACTGAGCTGTGAGAATCTTTCACAAACTGTATCTTTTAAACAGCAAATTATTAGACTGGAGAAGGGGAGCAGGTTACATCCCCTCCAGTTTTTGCCTATCTCCTGTGCTCCCTGTGCTTGCTGTCATAAAAGACCTATCAAAAGCTGTAGCAGGAAGAGTTAGGAGCCTGCCTACTGTGTTCACTAACGAACTGGAGTTTGATGTCAGCATCTCTCTGCCCTTGCAAGCAGGTGTCACTGCAGCCAGTGACAATTACAGCTGTATTCAGGGGACAGCAACATGATTCAGCCAGTCAAAAACAATATAAATGAATGAAGCTTTCACAGTTCAGGGATTATGTATTTTTAGCAAGCTGTATGTGATGTAATCTGACAAGATAGCTGCGTTTTTCTGAACTTAAATGGCTGTTCTGTTCCTGTCAGCAGGCAACAGCATAATGTAAAACTTGCAAGTTACAAAAGGGAAAGAATATGGGAAGGTAGGGTAAGAAGATTTTTATCCCATCGGTGCTGTTAGGTCAAGCAAAAGAAGATACATTTGAGATTCTCTAGATTTATAACTTTGTGACAAGAGGCCAGACCTCAAAGGTCTTCAGGTACTTTTCAGCATGCTGCATGCAGTGCTAATGAAAAATGGGCTCTTAAACAATTTCTTAACAGCACAGCTTTCATTCAGGCCTTCCTTTGTGTGTGGTTTGTAGTAGTACAGACCTTGAAAGTGTGTTCTTGTTCCCCTTAAGTCTTAGATTAAGCTGTCCAAATAGTGGACATGTGTAACAGTACTGTGTTTTCTGGCAGCAAGTGAAGATGTTTTATTGCCTTTTGCAGGATATGAAGTACAATAATCTGAGAAGTCTGCATCTCTTAGTCAAATATCGCTTGTATGTGAATACTTCATTTTAGAAACCTGAAGTAAAGAGGTGGTGACTAGGGAGAGTCTGCAGTACATGGGCAGGGTTATATTAATGACGTTTCTTCCTGAATTCTTCCTGTTTCTGTTCTCTACTGGAACTAAATGGTAACCATAATGAAAATTAACTGTAGGACACCAGATCTCAGAATGGATGAACAACCTGGTCAACTGTATCTATTTTAAGACATCATATGTATCATTTAATAAAGTTGGTCACCGGGAAAGTTGATTACCTGACATTTCCTATAGTGAATTAAACCAGGACCCAGTAGTAGCTCTTTGCTTACATGCTACTTTTACCCAAGCTCTCAGAGTGCTGTTGCAAATTCTGCCTTTTAACAGCAAAGTGAGCCAAGTGTATCTTGAAACTGCCACTTGGAAGCTGCTGTGAACCAGACAGGTGTTTGAAGAATACAAGAAGTGTTTGAAATTGTCTAGACTTTTCTTCAAGATTTCTCACTTAATTCTGTACTCTTCTTCAAATTTTTGACTTTCTGAAAAGAGACATGGATCATATAGTCTGGTCAAAGTATGTGCTCAGGCTGAAGAGTATGAAGAAATTACCATTTTTTCATTTTGTTTTTATTGACATGAGACTTCTTAACATCTTTCCTATATATTTCCTTACATGTTTGTTTCGAGAGTAATTTAGAAAACTGAAGTACCACTTCTTTTTCTCTGTTAGCAAATACATCTCAATTCTATTTCTACAGCACTGATATCACCTGCAAAGAAGACATCATCAGTGATCAATAGATTACGGCTCCAGCAACGCAAACCAAACCGTCACCATGAAACACTTCCTGAGGTAATTCTTCTGTATTTTTTTCAAAAGTGTTAAATTATTCTAATTACTTATGTGCTGCAGTGAGTTAAGTGTTTTAGCTGTTACCAGTAGCACAGAAGGTGTAAACTAGTTTATACTAGATTGCTTTCTGTTCACCTAGATTTCACTATTTAATTAAAGCTGTTTTAATTTAAAATTTCTTTCCCAGTTCTTTATAGAAGCAAAGAATGTGGGAACTGTCTTATGGGATTGGAGCAGTGATGCATCAAATGAGTAGTGGTGATATGTCAGGGGAAAATAGGAGAAAGAGTAACATAGAACAGTGCTTGAAAAATGTTTGGGTTATTTTTGTTCCTGTTCTTGTCTGCTGTCTGGATTTTTGGAGTGTTAATTGTGAAAGCGGAGAAGGGGGGATGCTTGGTGAAGATGTGCAAATGTTTCTGAAGCCTATTGTGCTCAATTTGGGAAGAAATGTCTATTACTTGCTCCTGTGTGTGATTTGCAGTTGTTTCTCTATAAACCAGGCATAGTATGGGGGACTAGCAGACACCAGCTCTAGGTGCAGAAAGCCCATGTTGTCTTTGTTCTGTAGTCAGTGGAGAGTTGAGCACTCCTAGAAACTAATACAGATCAAGCGCTTAATTTGTGTATAAACCAAAGAAATCATATTCTGTCTGGATGGGGAAAAACCTTTTCAAGAGGGCTGAAACATATGCTTCTGTATAGAGCATCTGTCACTATATTTTTCTCTCTTTTTAGACTGTTTGTAGCAAAGAATCTTATACGCTATGGATATTGGCATCATTACCTCTAGGCTGATCATCTGTAATGATTTTGCTGCCTAGCTAGCCTTGGCTTAAGCATTTCTGTGGGATGTTTGGGTCAGTTTCCTTGGTTATCTTGAGCCAGCTGCAAAAGGACTCTGTAAGCAGGACATACACAGGTTAAAAGGATAAAGCAATTATTTCTGGGTGTTAGCAAACAAAAGACAACTAAGATTTAATGAGCCATTAGGCTAAACATTAGTGTGGTCACCACCTTGATAGGCACCAGTCAGGAGGGAAAGGATTGGTCCCTGTAGCTCTGAGGCACTGATCCTGGATGGTCCCAAGTCTTGCACCAACTCCATTGACACTGGTCCAGTGACCTGATGGTTAATAACTAGCCTGGCTAATGTCCCTGCGGTGGTTTTTCCCTTTACAATTTTATAGCATCCCATGCTGGAGCCTTCCTTCTTGGATCCTCCTAATGATTTCCATCTCAGCACTCCTACCTCTGATTTTTTTTTTTTACCTTTCTTTCTCTGTACAGACTTGCTCAGCAGCCTAGCCCAAGGTCAGAAATTGGTGCCATACGGGATCTGGGCCATGAATCCTGCATAAATGGGACTCTACCATCCTGTGGGTGGGGTGGGAGCCTCCAGCTGGGGTCATAGAGGGTGTTGTGGCTTGCCTCCTTAATGGTCTGGTATCTTTTGAGCGTAGTGTACTTTTGCTTCCTCCTGATGGAGAAGCTGAGCTGCCGACAACTTCTAAGCTGCCAGCTATTCCCTGACTACAGTAAGCACTTTGCTTCTCCATTTAAACTGCCTGTTCTGCCCTCCTTTGGCTCTCCTGGCCCCTTGGTGTTTTTTTCCATGTTGGAGAAAGCATGCTGTTCTGAATATTTGGGTTCCTGAGGCTGTCTTGAAGAAACTACCTCCTCCTTCTTTTCATGGTATTTCTAAAGTCAATGAATCCTAAAAGGTTTGAGAAGTCTTGATGGTGTCAGTTTCTCTTAAGTAGCCAAGGTAGATCTTCTGAAAAGCAATTGCTTATCTAAATAGCACAGTTGAGGACTTTGTTATGGGAAGTGCAGTACTCCAAATGCTGAACAGAAAGTCAGGTGTGGGGGGTGGAATACAGAGCACCTTAAATAGGAAAACACTGTTGAAACACTGTTTACTTATAAGCATCTGGATTTTCTTATTTTATGTTAATCCTTTTACATGAACTGATCTGAATACTATACTCATATTTTGTAAATATAGAAGAAATATGGGGAAATTAAGAAATGAACTGGGGTCATCCTCCAAGAAAAGCGCTTACTGAGGATAGTGAGTTCTGTTGTATGTGTTGTGGTTCGAGGTTTGTGTGATAGGGAATAAGGCAGTAAAGTTTGGAGCTGCAGGGAGATCTGTGTGCAAGACAAGGATATTAAGCCTTCCAGCTTGGAAATCAGCTGGAAAATAAACAAGTTAATGTATATTGTATCCCCTAGTGTTTGTCCATTACCAGTAGCAGCAGCTTCCCAGGAGCTTGCTAAAAGCATCCTTAACTGTTTGTGAAGATCAAATGCAGGGCTGAATGTGGTGTACTGATGGTGAGGATTGCTCAGTGTCAGAGTTTTCCTTGCTGCACAACATGGAGCAGACACTGGACTAGCTGATGCTGATTGCATAGATTATCTCTGTGTTTAAAACCAATGAGGGAAGTCTACACAAACTGCAAGTCATCTTGTTGACTGCAACATAGAAAATGCAATAAAATAGATGGAGAGATGAGTAAGGCTTTCATCTGTAAAGTTAAGATAACCTCAACTGCTCTCTCTAAGTACTGATAGTAGTTTACCTGCAGCAACTGCATGGAGCAGATATTCACCTGGAGACCCAAGGAGCACTTTCAATGGTGGCTTTGAAATCCAGCTTGTTGTAAAAGACTCTCACCTATAGGCAGACACCACTCAGCTCTGAGTTAGGTTTGTGTGCTGGAGGCACACTGTGGTGTCTGCTGCTACTATCAAAGGGCAAGCCTGCATGTGCTGCATTGGGGCTCTCTGATTGCTACTGGAGTTTGTGTTCTAAACAAAATACTGCAGATGTGAGTACAGATAATGAGGAATTAGTGTAACTTGCATGCTGCTTTTGCTGTGCCTGCTATTCATCTGTTGGGCCATTGACACGTCTTTTTATAATCAGCCTGACGTTTCCTGTCTCTCTTTTGACATACTGATATTGAATACAAAACAGACCAAATTGTCTTTTTCCTCAGACCTTTCCATTTAAGATGCCCTTTTTAGTCTTCAACCATTCTGTGATTCTGTGGTTAGTGAGGTTGAAAGAGAGTTCTGGAAATCATCAAGTCCAACCCCTTTGCTCAAAGCAGGGTCAGCTACAGCAGGTTGCTCAGGGCTGTGTCCAGTCACATTTTGAACATCTCCAAGGATGGAGACTCTGCAGCTTCTCTGAACAGCCTGTTTCAATGGTTTGACCCTTACAATTTTTAAAAAAGCAACAAAACAAAAAAACACCCTTATGTTTAAATGTAATTCCTGCATTTCTGTCTGCGCCCATTGCCTCTTGCCCTGTCAGTGGGCACCACTGAGAAGAGTCTGCCTTAGTTGTCCTTACTCCCCCATCGGGTATTACCCCCTCAGTACAGGAAAGGTATGGACCTGTTGGAGTGGGCCCAGAGGAGGGCCACAAAAATGATCCAAGGACTGGAACACCTCTTACAAGGACAAGCTGAGAGAGTTGGGGTTGTTCAGCCTGGAGAAGAGAAGGCTGCGGGGAGACCTTATTGCAGCCTTTCAGTACTTAAAGAGGGTTTATAAGAAAGATGTGGACAATCTTTTCAGCAAGGCCTGTTGTGACAGGACAAGGAATAATGGTTTTAAACTAAAAGAGGGAGATTTAGACTAGATATAAGGAAGAAATTTTTTATAATGAGGGTGCTGAAACAGGTTGCCCAGAGAGGTGGTAGATGCCCCATCCATGGACGCATTCAAGGTCAGGCTGGACAGGGCTCTGAGCAACCTGATCTAGTTGAAGATGTCCCTGCTCACTACAGGGGGGTTGGGCTAGGTGATCTCTAAAGGTCCCTTCTGACCCAAACCATTCTAGGATTTATGCACATAGATAAGATCCCCCTGAGCCCCTAGCTCTCAGTCTGTCCTTCTACAACAGATGCTCCAGTCCCTTCATCGCTTTCATGGCCCTTTGTTGGACTCTCTCCAATATGTCCATGTCTCTCTAGTCCTGGGGAGCCCAGCCCTGAATGCAGCGCTCCAGATGTTTCTCACCAGGGCTGAGTACAGAGTATGATCAGTATGATCCACAAATATATGGAGATTTAAGGGCCTCATGTGAAAGGCAATCGAAAAGGTAAAACTTTGAATGTTGACTGTTCTTCCACACTTGAAGCAATTGCTTAGTTTTGTACAAGTAACACTTGTACATCCTCCTGTTTAAAGGAAGCAAAAAGATGTTTGCCTCATGCCATTGACAACACTGGCTAAACTACGTTTTACATGAAGGTGATGAATTTGTTCCTACTGATATTTGGAACAATAGACAAGTATGCAATACCCCTTAAACTTATGGCATAAAGTTTTATTGCTTTTGACATGTGTGTTTACTTGTGGGGTGAGTGATTTGGTTTTTGGGTGTGTGTTTGTTTTTGTGCGTTTTTTCTCTTTAAGACATACTCTGAAAGGTAGTCTTTACCTGTTGCAAAATGGCTTGACTCTGAAGTTACCTATCTTTGCTAACAGTCACCATCTACTTTAACTGGAAAGTGAAATTGTTGTTATAAAAGTAACTTAAAAAAATGTGTCTTAGTACATTTCTAACACAAAGTTCAGCCATTGAAGGAAACGATAATTAAAAAGATAAGAGAAGATACATGTTGTGGTGCCATGTAATAAGACTGCTTTTAATAAACTGAAGTCCTGCAGTGATTGAACAATCACAAAACTTCAAAATAAGTCCTATGTGGAATCGGTTGCTTATGCGGTCTCATTTCTCAATCTGAATTACTTCCTCTATTACTGCCTTTCCCCAGACTGTATTGCACATCTGAATAGCGAAGAAAGGGGCTGTACTTAGACAAATGGTGGCTACTTTGACATCTAAATCTCTTATAAGAATATCACTTTTTAGACTAGGGGATCCTTAATGTAACAGAACTTCATTTCTGGCTTTTCATCTACCTGCTTTCAGCAGCTGCTGCTTTCCAGTGGAAGGAGAAGCTTTTTTTAAACAG